CCTACCAAAGTCTACAGACAGACACCTACCAAAGTCTACAGACAGACACCTACCAAAGTCTACAAACACCTACCAAAGTCTACAGACAGACACCTACCAAAGTCTACAGACAGACACCTACCAAAGTCTACAGACAGACACCTACCAAAGTCTACAGACAGACACCTACCAAAGTCTACAGACAGACACCTACCAAAGTCTACAGACAGACACCTACCAAAGTCTACAGACAGACACCTACCAAAGTCTACAAACACCTACCAAAGTCTACAGACAGACACCTACCAAAGTCTACAGACAGACACCTACCAAAGTCTACAAACAGATACCTACCAAAGTCTACAGACAGACACCTACCAAAGTCTACAGACAGACACCTACCAAAGTCTACAGACAGACACCTACCAAAGTCTACAGACAGACACCTACCAAAGTCTACAAACACCTACCAAAGTCTACAGACAGACACCTACCAAAGTCTACAGACAGACACCTACCAAAGTCTACAGACAGACACCTACCAAAGTCTACAGACAGACACCTACCAAAGTCTACAGACAGACACCTACCAAAGTCTACAAACACCTACCAAAGTCTACAGACAGACACCTACCAAAGTCTACAAACACCTACCAAAGTCTACAGACAGACACCTACCAAAGTCTACAGACAAACACCTACCAAAGTCTACAGACAGACACCTACCAAAGTCTACAGACAGACACCTACCAAAGTCTACAAACACCTACCAAAGTCTACAGACAGACACCTACCAAAGTCTACAGACAAACACCTACCAAAGTCTACAGACAGACACCTACCAAAGTCTACAGACAGACACCTACCAAAGTCTACAAACACCTACCAAAGTCTACAGACAGACACCTACCAAAGTCTACAAACACCTACCAAAGTCTACAGACAGACACCTACCAAAGTCTACAGACAGACACCTACCAAAGTCTACAGACAGACACCTACCAAAGTCTACAGACAGACACCTAGCAAAGTCTACAGACAGACACCTACCAAAGTCTACAGACAGACATCTACCAAAGTCTACAGACAGACACCTACCAAAGTCTACAAACACCTACCAAAGTCTACAAACACCTACCAAAGTCTACAGACAGACACCTACCAAAGTCTACAAACACCTACCAAAGTCTACAGACAGACACCTACCAAAGTCTACAGACAGACACCTACCAAAGTCTACAGACAGACACCTACCAAAGTCTACAGACAGACACCTACCAAAGTCTACAGACAGACACCTACCAAAGTCTACAGACAGACACCTACCAAAGTCTACAGACAGACACCTACCAAAGTCTACAGACAGACACCTACCAAAGTCTACAGACAAACACCTACCAAAGTCTACAGACAGACACCTACCAAAGTCTACAGACAGACACCTACCAAAGTCTACAAACACCTACCAAAGTCTACAGACAGACACCTACCAAAGTCTACAGACAGACACCTACCAAAGTCTACAAACACCTACCAAAGTCTACAGACAGACACCTACCAAAGTCTACAAACACCTACCAAAGTCTACAGACAGACACCTACCAAAGTCTACAGACAGACACCTACCAAAGTCTACAGACAGACACCTACCAAAGTCTACAGACAGACACCTACCAAAGTCTACAAACACCTACCAAAGTCTACAGACAGACACCTACCAAAGTCTACAGACAGACACCTACCAAAGTCTACAGACAGACACCTACCAAAGTCTACAGACAGACACCTACCAAAGTCTACAGACAGACACCTACCAAAGTCTACAAACACCTACCAAAGTCTACAGACAGACACCTACCAAAGTCTACAAACACCTACCAAAGTCTACAGACAGACACCTACCAAAGTCTACAGACAAACACCTACCAAAGTCTACAGACAGACACCTACCAAAGTCTACAGACAGACACCTACCAAAGTCTACAAACACCTACCAAAGTCTACAGACAGACACCTACCAAAGTCTACAGACAAACACCTACCAAAGTCTACAGACAGACACCTACCAAAGTCTACAGACAGACACCTACCAAAGTCTACAAACACCTACCAAAGTCTACAGACAGACACCTACCAAAGTCTACAAACACCTACCAAAGTCTACAGACAGACACCTACCAAAGTCTACAGACAGACACCTACCAAAGTCTACAGACAGACACCTACCAAAGTCTACAGACAGACACCTAGCAAAGTCTACAGACAGACACCTACCAAAGTCTACAGACAGACATCTACCAAAGTCTACAGACAGACACCTACCAAAGTCTACAAACACCTACCAAAGTCTACAAACACCTACCAAAGTCTACAGACAGACACCTACCAAAGTCTACAAACACCTACCAAAGTCTACAGACAGACACCTACCAAAGTCTACAGACAGACACCTACCAAAGTCTACAGACAGACACCTACCAAAGTCTACAGACAGACACCTACCAAAGTCTACAGACAGACACCTACCAAAGTCTACAGACAGACACCTACCAAAGTCTACAGACAGACACCTACCAAAGTCTACAGACAGACACCTACCAAAGTCTACAGACAAACACCTACCAAAGTCTACAGACAGACACCTACCAAAGTCTACAGACAGACACCTACCAAAGTCTACAAACACCTACCAAAGTCTACAGACAGACACCTACCAAAGTCTACAGACAGACACCTACCAAAGTCTACAAACACCTACCAAAGTCTACAGACAGACACCTACCAAAGTCTACAAACACCTACCAAAGTCTACAGACAGACACCTACCAAAGTCTACAGACAGACACCTACCAAAGTCTACAAACACCTACCAAAGTCTACAGACAGACACCTACCAAAGTCTACAGACAGACACCTACCAAAGTCTACAAACACCTACCAAAGTCTACAGACAGACACCTACCAAAGTCTACAGACAGACACCTACAAAAGTCTACAGACAGACACCTACCAAAGTCTACAGACAGACACCTACCAAAGTCTACAGACAGACACCTACCAAAGTCTACAGACAGACACCTACCAAAGTCTACAGACAGACACCTACCAAAGTCTACAGACAGACACCTACCAAAGTCTACAAACACCTACCAAAGTCTACAAACACCTACCAAAGTCTACAGACAGACACCTACCAAAGTCTACAAACACCTACCAATGTCTACAGACAGACACCTACCAAAGTCTACAGACAGACACCTACCAAAGTCTACAGACAGACACCTACCAAAGTCTACAAACACCTACCAAAGTCTACAGACAGACACCTACCAAAGTCTACAGACAGACACCTACCAAAGTCTACAGACAGACACCTACCAAAGTCTACAGACAGACACCTACCAAAGTCTACAGACAGACACCTACCAAAGTCTACAGACAGACACCTACCAAAGTCTACAGACAGACACCTACCAAAGTCTACAGACAGACACCTACCAAAGTCTACAAACACCTACCAAAGTCTACAGACAGACACCTACCAAAGTCTACAGACAGACACCTACCAAAGTCTACAGACAGACACCTACCAAAGTCTACAAACACCTACCAAAGTCTACAGACAGACACCTACCAAAGTCTACAAACACCTACCAAAGTCTACAGACAGACACCTACCAAAGTCTACAAACACCTACCAAAGTCTACAGACAGACACCTACCAAAGTCTACAGACAGACACCTACCAAAGTCTACAGACAGACACCTACCAAAGTCTACAGACAGACACCTACCAAAGTCTACAGACAGACACCTACCAAAGTCTACAAACACCTACCAAAGTCTACAGACAGACACCTACCAAAGTCTACAAACACCTACCAAAGTCTACAGACAGACACCTACCAAAGTCTACAAACACCTACCAAAGTCTACAGACACCTACCAAAGTCTACAGACAGACACCTACCAAAGTCTACAGACAGACACCTACCAAAGTCTACAGACAGATACCTACCAAAGTCTACAGACAGACACCTACCAAAGTCTACAGACAGACACCTACCAAAGTCTACAAACACCTACCAAAGTCTACAGACAGACACCTACCAAAGTCTACAGACACCTACCAAAGTCTACAGACAGACACCTACCAAAGTCTACAAACACCTACCAAAGTCTACAGACAGA